CTAGTTAGTAGCATGGAGCTGATGGTCCAAATAACACTGCAGATAGTAACGTTATTTTCCAGGTAGATTTGTTGGCTGCGCTGTTAACAACAGTTTGAGAGTTACATATAAAGAGATAAAACGTGATTTAGTCAACGTGCTAATATGCTAAATACTTCCTGTGTTTCTTTCCAGAAACAGCTAAAGAAGTTGAGCAGCTGCAGGTTGCTGTGGATAACAGCAACCTGCAGCTGAACACAGGTCAGTCTTTACCTGCATTAAGTACCAGAATGAGTAATTATTGATCAATAATGATGTCGTATTAATGTTAATTAATGTGTGTGATTTTAGTGGCGGAGGCCTTGAAGCGTCTGTCCGTCGTGGATTCTCTCAGCAGGACCATCGCTTCACTCAAATGTTCCCTCCAACACATCATCAACAACAGTACACAGACACACACACAGTGGTACATTCAGAGTCCACATTTACACACAGACAGACCCTCTCACTGTCTGTCTGTCTGTCTGTCTGTCTCTCAGGCTCAGTGACGGACGGCTGCTGTCCGGTGGGTTGGAGGCAGTATGAGTCGGAGTGTTATTATTTCAGCACTACGGTTCTGTCCTGGAACGACTCCAGAGTCTGGTGTGAGAAAAACGAAGGTCACTTGATCATCCTGCTCACGAACAAGGCGTGGGTGAGACAACCTGTCTGTCTGTCTGTCTGTCTGTCTGTCTGTCTGTGATGTAGTTCTTGGTCCCCAGAGGATGAAGCCCTCTGACCCTTTCCTCTAGCGCCACCAGCAGGTTGAAGCTTCCTGAAACACTAACGATGGATCAGTCAAACTTTCTTCACTCAAGTTAAAGTGTAAAAGTATTCTCTTGGTTTCTCTGAGGAACATTTTTACTGTACTGAAATAAAACGGGGTCTGTCTGTTCAGGACTTTGTGACCCGCGTTACATCATCAACATCTGAACTCTACTGGATCGGTCTGTCGAACTGGCGGACTGGACGGTGGGAGTGGGTCAACGGGAACCAGTACAGTATGGACCGCAGGTACGAACTCTGAGCTCTGATGACTATGTTTCTAAAAGCAGAAGTCGATTTATGGAAGTAGAACTTACATGACTTTACTTCATTTAACTTCCTGGTTTCCAGGCGCTGGTTGCCCGGGCAGCCTGATGGCTGGAGAAGTCGCGGCCCAAGTTATGCAGTCTGCGTTCACCTTGACAGCACTGGACGCCTCAACGACGTGTACTGTGGCACCAAGAGGCGCTACATCTGCCAGAAACACAGCCTGCGCATCTGAGTGAAAACCCAAAGTGTTCTGATCTCCTACAGACAGCAAACACATCGTAGATTTAATATAAAACATCACAGATCAATAATAATGAACACAAATTACTGTTTTGTCCAATAAAATCTCTCAGTATGAACTACAAATGTATTTTCACACTTCGGCTTCTTTTAATTAATAATTTAATAAACTTCAGTTGCTCCAAAGAATCAACAGTTTAAGACTTTAAAGGAAAAAACATTCTGAGATTTTTTTGCTTCCATATATCTGCTTTCAGACTAGTGGTATAAAATATAAAGTATAAAAATACAGTTTTGTCTTTTTAATGTTTAATTAAAGATGTTTACACTGTAAAACAAAAAAATGCAATGAGCTATAAATACAGGTGAACACTGCTATAATACAAATAATCAGGCTTACATTTTTATTTTAAAAGTTATAGAAAAATCATTATCTGTGAGTTTACCAATGCTTATACACTGATAAACAACATTCATTCAAAGTTTCTGTTATGAAAACTTCCATAATTATAGAAGATATCTGATATCAATTAAAAAAAACAAAAACTTTTTACTGTTTTTAAGTTTACTGTTAATGTCACTAATTTAAAAAAATAAAAATAAATAAATAAAAAAAGTCTGTAAAATAAACAGGATAAACCCTGTAAACTTACAGATTGGTGGTTTGATCCCTTCCTTTCCACATTAGCAAGGCAATAAAACCCACTGATTGACAAATTGTTAAAGCACTTAATCAGTACAGGTAGAAAAGTCTGAAGTCACCTAATTAAATAACAAAGCTGCCCTTCAGACGGACTCATAGAAGCATTTTCTGATCTGCTTCAATGTTCCTTTTGCAGTTTTTGACCTCTCAGTCTTCTAAATCTACATGTCTTTCACAAGGAGTGTCTCTATGTTTCATCAGGAGTCATTAATAACATTATTAATAACGAGAACATCCTGTTTAATTAAGGAAAGTAGTTTAAAAAACAAAGAGCAATCCTTTACAGAATACTGCATAACGTATCAATCAAACTAATACCATCAGACAACCTTATCAGACTTTATCAGTTAGCTAGTGTTTCTGTAGTGGAGACTAAACGTTAACAGTGATCCATATCAGCAGTTTGAATCCAACTAAAAGCTCCCTGCACCAAACTCCCTTTAAGAAATATC